GTGTGTGTGTGTTGCGGTAAGTATTTATGCTGTGGTGTATTTTTTATATTTATTTCAATAAATTTTCAGTTTCTTCATACTCTATCGTCTTTAACCACGCTGTAACTTGTTTTTTTAAATGCTTGGTCGTTGCATATATGTTTAGTTTTTCATTAATATAGTTATAGAGATGACCAGACTGACTTCCAAATCGCCTCATAGCAAATTTTATTTTCATAGGCACTACTGGTGCCACAGCATGTCCTCTTCTTCTATCGCAATTTTTGGGGTTATATAACAGCGTCTTGTGCAATCTTAATACAGAATTAAGGATATACATCTTCCTTACCAAAAGGTGGTCACATATGGTGTATAGCTCTTTAGTAGGGAATCTGTAGGGCTTAAAGTGCATCACTTTTAAGGTGCATCTTTTTTTCTTCATACGGCAACACTGATTACCTCAAGTAGTCAAGATTTTAATTATATTACTCTACTCTATGATTTTAATGCATCTCTAGTATATACACAGTTGAGGAGTTTTGGCGGGAAGTCGGCGTAGACGGATTGTTACTCCTGTTATGTCGCTTTAATAATGGTTTGAACTGGATTTTGATTCGTAAAAGTGATGCGATTTTGTGAATTTAGTGTCCCCGTATGTGAACTATTCAAGAAAACGACGAAACAAGTGCTTTAATGTCGATATAAACCTCAAGTTATTTTGGTCGCTTGGGCGCCTTATGAGCTTAAGTGGCTGTCGTCATCGACTGTCCGCTGGGTTGAGCTGTCGTCAAATTCTCCCCAGCGCTTCGCAATATGACGCATCAGCATATTGTGAAGATAAAACATAAAAATGAAGATTCCGAAAGAAATGATAGGCTCAGAAGGGCTAGAACTCAGAGCCGTAAAGCCAATTAATAAAAAATCTATGGTTATTGGTTATGCGCTAGCTACAGTGTTGCCAGATCTAGAGGTTTTCCTCAATCTAGGGGTTTTTGGGGGACGTTGAGGTTTTTTTAGAGGTTTTAATATCACGAAATTAATCTAGAGGTTTTTCTGAAGGTTTTTCAGTAGTATTAACAACTTCCTAACTCTTTTTCAAAACAGACAATGCCGACAATTCATTATCGATATAAAATATCGATATGGCAGTATCACAATTAATTTGTCAGTCTTATACTCATAACTTTTTCTACATTGATGTATTTAACCTAAATGTGTGCATAAAATGTAATAGTGTTGGAGATTTAGATTTGTGTGTGCCTTAGTGACACAAAATTTTATTGAGTAGGTGTGCAGTACTGTCTATGTAGTGTTTCTTCCCCCGCACCAAAAGTGACAGAATTTTTTGTTCGTGGCATTAGGCGCATTACTCGTCCATTGAGTTGAATGGTCTAAGTACGTAGCTTGTATGTATTAGTAACTTTTTATTTTTGATAAATCTGATTCACACGAAACTTGACCGAATAAAAATTCAGAGGTTTTTATCCCCCTACATAGCGAAACTAGGGGTTTTTTCGAAAAATCTAGGGGGACAGGTGAAAAAATCTGGCAACACTGGCTAACTAGTAGGTATCAGCGTTGCAATCGATACGGCAATTGTCGTAATATACGGCATTCCCCGATTTTTTTTAAGATTATACGGCATACGGCAGGCTTTTCATTGTCGTATCAAGTATTACGGCAATTCAGCTTTGCGATAAACCACGATGGCAAATTATGAACAAAAAATTTAAATACCTGTATTGATATCCATACTTTTTTCACTTTCGTTATCTCTTAAGTGATAATAAAGAGTGTGGTTGTCTATGACGGGAAATTACCGTTCCATCTTTTATTTTATGAGACTAACAAAGATTGCATGAACATGACACATGGTAGACATTGATAGAAGTAATGAATGTAAGAAAACATATTTACTTTGTTTATATTATTGAATGAATGTACAACATTATGAACTATAAGATGTGTACGGTACTTTTGTAGTATTTACTCTGGCTGTAAATTAAACTTGGATCCAATTTGGCTTTGTTGGAATGGCTGCACTTTCTACAAAAAGCTTAAACTCTTACTTCAAAACACGCGAAAAGGACAAAGACGTCATAGTTCTTTTCCGTCATTGTCTCCACTGGCCCAGCAATTGCCAAGAATTGTGAGAGAATCAGATAAGCAACGAATTGATGACGAGTGGAGGTTGCTACCAAATGTAAACAAAATTTCAGAATTAGAAATAAAAACATGAATTTTGGGCAAATGTCCAAGATACTACAGACTGCAAAATATTAGCAAATTTTGCTTTAGACGTATTATGTCTATCTACAACATAGCAATGCAGATTGTGAAAGAGTTTTCAGTGAAGTAATCAATATGAAAACAAAATCCAGAAATAAATTGATAACATCCACTGTCAACGGAGCTCTATTAGCAAGACAAGCGGTTAAAAATCAAGGAGGTTGTACGAAATTTCAAATGTCAAATGATATGTGTAAGAAAATGAAAAGCAAAGAAAAATATTAATTACATAGACAAACGAGTGATGTTTTCAATCAATCAGAAACCTATATGGTGAAGAAATTTCAGATTTTATGTGATTTATTTAATTATTCGTAGAAATAAATACTTTACGGCAATTTCGTGGATTTTCTTTCATAAATACGGCAATTTTCGTTTTTAGATACGGCAACTCAATTTTTTACAGTCGCAACGCTGGTAGGTACTACCTACTACAATAATTTTTACTAATTTAGGTACTTCATATCACAAATTATAAAGTTGTATGTGCTTCATATTCAGTTTGTAAATTTATGAAAAATGAATGACCAAGCTAGAACCTTAAAATATCTTGTTTCTGTAGAAAAACTGGCTGAAGAAATATTGTGCGATAAGCAAGAAATTGTTATGTTGGATAAAAGAAGAAATCATAATCGCGAAGCTTTACGCGCTCTGACAAAATCTTCTCAGTGCAAATGTTGGGTTACAATAGGGTCAGTTATTATAAAACATGATATTGTAGCAACTAAGTTTCTTTTAGAGGCTGATCAAAGACAATTGAATATAGATATCAATAAACTTAGGTCCGACCTGAGAATAAAAGTAAATAACTTAAGGGATTTAGAAATGCAACCTCCTGTGCCTGGTTTAATGTTAGTTCCTATGTCAAGTTTAGAAAGTGACGGCCTTGCGAAAGCTGGTTTATTTAAATAATGTATGTGTGTAAATTTTATAAATATATGTTTACACAGGATTTCATTGTTTAATGTCATTTTTGGCTACCATCGTAGTAAAGATATTGGGCAGTGTTCTAAAATAGTAAATAGTGTAAATATCTAAAACTGCATTACAATCTGGATTTCATTTCAGATTATCCACAGAAAGTGCAATACTTTGCCCTTAAGCTCACTGATATTATGTTTATAGGAAAACACCTGTCTATGCATGTTTCCTTGACATGTCCAATTAACCGTTGAAAAAATTAAATTACCAGGTCAACTGATACAGATTTCAAAATATTGGTAAGGAGTTAGGTCAATGCGTTAGATAGGCTAATGCTTATTCTGAACCGTACCGTTAGAGTGTGGGATAAGACAGAGTGGGCTTAGCTAGTCTCTTGAATATATATGTAAATGGACTTATTGAGGTGCTTAGCAGCAAGCTTGTCAGATTTCATATATATGGAATGTGTAACTTGAGTTATGCTGACAACATGATGCTGCTTAGTGCATCATTATGTGAATTAAGAAAATTGTTAGTATTTGTAAGACATTTGCGGCCAATCATGGGCATACAATGTACAAAAAAGTTAGTATATGGTCTTTGGGGCTGGATGGGATCGTATAAGTAATGTGCCTCCTATTAAAATATATGGTACAACATTAATTAGGGTAGACTCTTAAAATTTTGGGTCATATGGTCCAACCTCAAAGATAGTACTGACAGAATGGGAATGTAGGGCTCTGGTGGTTCAAGCAAATATGATTGCTCGCAGGTTCGCACTGTGTTCAAGGGAGGTTAAACTTACTCTAATTAGAGCACTGCATGTCTCTTGTGTGTGGACGAACTACTCAAGGCTATGGAGCCCTTTGGATCCAATATAACAATGTGTTCCGGGTGACCCCCTGTCCCGTCACTGCACCACATGAGCGATGTTTGCTCAAGCACATGCATATTGTTATTACACAACTATGCATAAAAAAGCTGCATTACTGGTGTGCAGGGTTAGGGTCTAGCCCCAACGGCATTCTTAAACAGAGGTGATATCTATCTCCCTATCTGCAACACTGTTGTAGATTGCAAATGCCCAGCTGCTAATTGACTGCTGAACATAATATGCAAGTATCTTATGTCATGTTTTTATTTAAATGTATGTATCCTATCATGTTTAGTTAGACCATTTAATTTTTTGAATAATATAATTTTAAAAATGTAATGTACGTAGTAATAAGTTCTGGATACTTGAGATTAAGTAATAATAATAAATAATAATTTATTGTATCAATGGCGTAGAGAAGTGACGACCCCATCGCCTGCTGATGTGACTGTTATTTGACAAAACTCTTACGTCAGCGCAGTCAGTCAGTACCTTGCCAAGAGGTGTGAGTGCCGTGCCTAGGCAAAAATTGAAGGTGCAAAGGCCTGCTTGTGCATATGGCCTCACAATGAAACAGCGCCGGGTCTGGGCGTCTTCCGTTAAATGACACCCGCTATGGATGATGGAATACAGAAGAACGCGCAAAGGGCCGCTGCCTGTAAGTTGCCAGGGTGCGTCTGGAGCTGGCGCTGGACGCGACAGCATGCGAACCGCTAGCCGAGCGAGAGGTGCTGCACGACCGCTCAGCAGCCCCTCGTATCCATCATCCCCACCAGCTTGCTTGGTGTCGGCAGGGTCTTCGCAGGCCCAGCAATCGGTACCCGCCACTGGTGGAGTACGCCGCATGCGATAGACCATTAAAATGAGTACAAACGCATTGGGGGCGTATTTTAGGGCGAAAGGGGAAGAAGTTGGAGGTGTCGCGTATCGGGCTAGGATGCATCGTCTTTTTACTGAGCTGGAGCCATCTATTACCGTCACCGAACAAAACTTGGCAGACCGAGTTCGCTATGTCTTGCGCTCAAATATATTTGATGGCGCCGAATTCGAACGGCTACGATGTGAGGCTGTTCCCTCATCAGATGAAAATGCTACGGCTGAGGATGCGGTGCCACAAGTTGCAGAACAACCCGCACACGTGGTTGCCGCCGTGAATACCCCAGTGGTAGCTGATTCAATGATGGAACATTCGCCCAGGAACGAGAAATAGGGCAAATGAGAAGTACATTGGAAGAGGCGATTGTGGAAACGCGCAATACGCCTCTCAAAAATCGACCGCGACTTCCCCGCATAGCCCTAAGCAAGCGGAATCGAAATCTCTGAACCCAATGCTGGTGACCTATTTGGAAGCTAGCCGGGACCTTTGTAAGACGGACTCAATTATTTTTGGCGCCGCGCTGGCAGTCTGCCGTATTACAGGCGCCAAGGTTTCCACGGCTGGACGAGTTACTGGCCAAAGTAGCGCTATCCCAGCATGGAGAAGAAGAATTGCGGAACGTATCGCAAAGGCTAGAGCTCCCATCGGCAGACTGAAATGCTTCAGATCAGGCAATAACAGGCTAAGAATTGTGAGCACCATCAGGATGGCCCTTTGCTGGGACAAATGTCAGTTCGTCCCAGCCGGATATAACGCAAAAACTGACGGAGCGGAGCGAAGCAGAGAATCGCTGCTTGGGGAAAGCGGATTCGGCGATATACCGAGAGGTCGACTCGGTTCAACCAGTATCGTCTCTTCCAGAGTGATCAGAAGAGGCTCTATGAATCATTGAAGCGACCAATGGTAAGTGGAACGGGCCCGGCACCGAATCAGGCCGACACTAGCATTCTGGCGCGGACGGTGGTCAGAGCCCGTAAACCACAGCGAGGGCGGCTGGACGGAAGTTGTGGCGAGTCAGTGTGCGAGTATAACGCCCATGGATCCCGTCATTATAACGCCGGATGAAGTAGCTGAGACGGCACGTAGGGCCCCGAACTGGAAAAGTCCGGGACTCGACGGGCTGCATCACTACTGGCTGAAGGGGTTCGTGGTGTGTGACACTGCTCGCCCGACAGTTTCAAGAGGCTCTCAACCAGAAGTCGCTCCCGCGCCTCTTCACTACTGAGATCACTCATTTGGTTCCTAAAGTCCAGGGTACCACAGCCCCGAGTAAATACCGCCCCATCACGTGTCTACCGACCATATACAAGACGCTAACATCCATTTGAGCGCGAGGATCACTCGTCACCTGAACTCAAGTCAGGTTATGTCGCGCGCTCAAAATGGATGTCGGGGTGGTGGTCGTGGAACCAAGGTACCACTTCTCATTAACACGGTCATTGGCAAAGTGGTGAAACGCAACCGTCGGAACTTCTCCGCTGCCTGGATAGACTACGTAGGCATTCGACTTGATGCCCCATACATGGCTAAAGAGGTTCCTCAAGCTGTACAAGATTGACTGTACAGTTAGAGACTTCTTCGAGCAGTGTGGCAGTAGAGTACGATTCTATGTCATCTGGGCGAGCGGATGACGGCTGCAGAAAGCCACATAAGGATAAGAAGGAGTATCTTCCAGGGCGATTGTCTGAGTCCAATCTGGTTCTGCCTCTCTTTGAACCCTCTCAGTACTTTACTGGAGGGCTCCGGGAGGGGTTTTCAGCTTCGGAAAGGAGGTACAAAAGTGACCCACCTTTTCTATATGGATGACCTCAAGTTGTTCGCCTCCAGTCCCTCCCATGTTGTGAAATTGCTAAACATCGCCTGTGATTTTAGCAATTCTATTGGAATTGAGCTGGGAACGGATAAGTGTGTGGTCCTCCATATTGAAAGGGGAAGGGTTGCTAACTCTAAGGGCATAGATTTATCTATGTGCGTCAACTTAAAGACCCTTTCCGAGACTGAAACATACCGATACCTGGGTATGTCACAGAACATCGGTATCGATGAGGCTGGTATGAAACAGTTTGCGACGTGTTTTATGCACGCTTGACCAAAGTGCTTAACAGCCTTTTGTCCGGTGTGAATAAGACACACGCATAAAACGGTTGGGCCATGCCTGTCCTCATGTATACCTTTGGCATACTCAGGTGGACCCAGACTGAACTTAACGCCCTGGATAGAAAAGTCCGCACTACCATGACGTCCCATAGGATACATCATCCGAGATCGTCGGTAATGAGGCTGTACTTGCCGCGAAAGCATGGTGGGCGTGGTTTTCTGAGCGCGCTCACCATGCATAATCGCGAAGTGTGCAGCCTCCGTAATTACTTCCTGGCGAGATCGGATGATCCATTCTATAATGACGTCATTTCTAGTGATAAAGGGCTTACCCCTCTATCCTTAGCCAACGAGCAATGGCAGGACCCAGCAGTGCTTAGCATTTCCGACAGGGAGACCGTATGTAAGGAGAAGGAGCTCCACGGGAGGTACTACAGGGCTCTACATGAGCCCTTCGTAGATACAGTCGCCTCCCTCAACTGGCTACGTTTCGGTGACCTCTTCGGGGAAACCGAGGGTTTTGTCTGTGCAATACAGGATCAGGTTATTAAGACCAACAACTATCGGAGATACATCCTAAAGGATGGCACTGTCGACATCTGTCGAGCTTGTCGCCATCCCGGGGAGTCACTTAGGCATGTCATCTCCGGTTGTTCGGCGCTTTCTAACTCTGAGTACTTGCATAGACACAACCTAGTAGCCAGAATTCTACACCAGGAGCTCGCTCTGAAATACGGTCTGGTGGACCGAAAATTGCCGTATTACAAGTACTTGCCGGAAGCCGTGCTCGAAAATGACCGCGCCAGGCTCTACTGGGACCGGACCATCATCACAGACAGGACTATTCTTGCGAATAAGCCTGATATTGTGCTGATGGACCGGGCACAGTCAAGGACATTCCGTATAACGAGAACCTCGTGAAAGCCGAAACAGGTAAACAAACAAAATATCTCGACCTGACTCATGTGGTGACCGACATGTGGGGAGGTCTGCCGACCGAAATTATTCCTGTAGTCGTTTCTGCAAACGGGCTAATAACAATATTTTTATTACATTATTATTACCTAGTTTAACATCGTTTTTCCTTGCACCTAGTGGTCCCTGCTCACAATGATTTCTTTATTGTTAGCAGGGACCACTAGGTGCAAGGAAAAACGATGTTGGTCTAACAATAAATTTTAATCACAACTTTTAACATAATAATGCAATAAACTGAAAAGAAGCATTCATTAACAGTTTATTTGTGTATTTATTGTTAAAGAAATCATACATGTTTATTATATGTATATTTGGCTAATATTATTGCCACAGAGTACATTGTATTTATTAAGTATATCAAGGCTACTCGCATATCGTCACTAACTTTCGATTGTCGTTCCGATGTTGATTTCTAAAATCATTTTTAATTAGCCGTAAAGCTGAAAACGATTCTTCACATACCATAGGTTGTTTTTTTTATAGGATAGGGTGACAAACGAGCACACAGTCCACCTGATGGTAAGTAGTTGCTGTAGACAGTAGACACCTCACTACATGTATCCTCGATTACGAAACAAAATGCAGATGCGTTGTCACCCGTGAGGACTAAGATGGAATGCCTCATTTCCAGTAAAAAGGGTCTTCAGTTCTCTACACTCACCATACGAAATACAGCAGCATTAAGCTACTATTTTACGCTGGTATTGTGATAGCGTGGTCCTTCACCGGTCGATCCGACCATTCCTGCTACAACTATAAAAGTAAAGTAAAGTTACAGCCTATATACGTCCCACTGCTGCGCACAGGCCTCCCCTCATTTCTGAGAGGGTTTTAGGGCAAGGAAGTGTCCGTCACGCTGCCCCAATGCGTGTTGGCGAACCTCACATATCTTCGAAATATTTTTTTCCTTATTCCTCAGACATGCAGGTTTCCTCACGATGTTTTCCTTCACCGCCGAGCACGTGGTAAATCAGCACTTAAAATTGCAATTTAACAATTTCATTGGTGCCGGCGGGGATCGAACCCGGGTTACTCGCGTTCTGTTATATTTACAGCGAGCGTTAACCATCTGAGCTACCACGGCTACAACTATACTACAATATAACTGCAGCATGGCTCTACCACATAAAAAACAGCATTAGGTAGCGCAAGACGATTTCTCGAATTTTAATGTATGAAATTGCTTTGTTACTCTTAAATGTCTCCAGGCATTTAGAACCATAATCTGAAAGCGCGCGCTTGCATGTGTACACCTCCATAAGAACTTTTGTCTCTAGTATATATTCAGTGATCTATGAACTATTGGTTCTCAAAACGCGCGTTTTAAAGCGCTTAATGTGTACCCGCTTTTCGGAGATGTACACATGCAAGCGCGCGTCGAACGCGCGTTCTCAGATATTGGTCCAGACGCGCGTTGCGAGGACGTCAGCCACGCGCCATAGACATCCACATTTATCCTCAACTAAGGATCAAAATGTAAATGCGTTGTCACCCCTGAGGACTAAGATGGAATGCCTCGATTCTGGTATTCTGTGAGAGCGTTGTCCGCCCCGGTCGAGCCGACCCATTCATGATAAAACTATAATATTGTTACGAGCTTGAGGTTCGTGACAATAAAAACTGCCCATTGAACACTTTAATTCACTTTACACTAATTAAAATTTAAAACACTAATAATTAATCACACTGATTCACTTTATTTCGCTCCGAAGCTTCGCTTGTCTCGCCAAATTCAATACTTCCCCGATCGCATCTTGCAGCGCCTATAAATACACATTAGCACCGAAACATCCAGAATATTCAAGTAAATACGCGCACCAATCGACAAGGCGCCGAAAGTTCAAGTGTCGGCTTCTAGAAGCTTAGTTCTTCGTTTCGATACTAGATGGCGCTGTCGGTTGAAAGATTAGTGATGTCATTTTCTGGAAAGCTCTCCTCGCTTCGTTACCCGACACAGATGGCGCTAGTGCCGGGTACATGACGTCAACTTAGGCGCGCAACAATATGGCTGCAGCGTGGCTCTACCACGTAAGAAAGAACAAAATATATAGAATCAACATAGGACCACCGAATTAATAAGTATTTCAATCGAGTATTTTCTAAATAAATAAAAGAAAAATAATACCAAAAACGAAAAACAAGGCAAGAGATTTGACAGTATGATATTGATCTCTCGGTAGAGAGGTGTAGGATGTTACTTGCGGAGACACTTTGATAGCCCCTCATCTCAGTAATACCTCTTTGAAAGCAGGGCGGCATCAGAGGCAGCTGATCTAAGTAAGCGGCGCAAATATGTGTCTCTGAGAGATCACTACATATTTGTGTCATTCGCTGTAGAGACTATCGGTCCGTGGGGTCCACGCGCGGTAAAGTTTCTAAGCGATCTATCTATCCGCGACTGGTCGTTACTGCTGGTGATAAGACGATTCGTTTTTTCTCGCTCGGAAGCTAAGAAACGCCATTTAGCGAGGAAAGTTAGTATTTTCAGCAAAAAAATTATATTCTAAAAAATACTACCTATCTATGCACACAACGAACGAATAACGCTCTTACTCTTTCACTCGCTCGTTTGATTCGTGCATGTACAGCCAGCCCAAACTCGAGTTAGACAGATCCAACTCGAGTTGACCCATCGCTACGCCATTTTGTTGTACATTTGATCGTGCGCCTTTGTGTAGGGTGGACGCACGTTGACGATGGAGATCGAGCATTTTGATACTGATTTATTTGTTGATGAAATCCAAAAGCGACCAGCTATTTGAGATATGGAAATTCCCAATTATAAAAATAAAATAATAAAAAAACGTAATTGGGAGG